GCCCCCTAGAGCCCGCGCGGCTCCCTCCAGGTTGGCCCCGCCCCTTTCGGTCTGGCCCCGCCCCCTCGAGTCTAACCACGCCCCCCAGGCTGATCCCAGCCCCGGGCTCATCCCGGGAGCTCCGGTGCCCGGGAAGGAGCCCACGCGGCCGCCCGGCTTGGAATCCGCCTTTATTTCCCTCTCTCCCGAAAGAGAATCCGCGGCACGAAGAACCTTTGGCATGAGGAGCCCAGGAACGCCGCCGGGACAGCGTCTGCTCCCGACGAGGCCGATGCCAAGGGCGGAAAGGAGATTTCCCGGAGGCGCCTGCCGGTTTTCCCGCACGGCTCCTCCGAGAGAGATATTTATAGATTCCTACGGATATGGTCGTCTGTAATAAATACCCTCTGCGCTCCCTAGCAGTAGGAACGTCAAGTGCACAGAGCTCTGTGCAGGGGCACGATCCCAAGGAGATGCTCCTGCTTCCTTGCATCCCTAAGGGAATGCCCGTATCCCACGCCGGTTGCTTTCCCTGGCCGGGAAAGGAGGCTCCTAGATCGGCATGGGGATGGATAGGAGCACCAGGGCATCCTGGGGAGGGTGGAACCTGGGAGGCAGCTGGGATGCAGCTGGTACCCAGAGGATGCAGCTGGTACCCGGAGGATGCAGGATGCAGCTGGTACCCAAAGGATGCAGCTGGTATCCGGAGAATGCAGGATGCAGCTGGTACCCAAAGGATGCAGCTGGTACCCAAAGGATGCAGGATGCAGCTGGTTGAGGAGGAATGGGTGGGAAAAGTCCCTTATGCTCCACATTGTCCCCCCCTAAAGCCTCCCTTGCTGGAGACCTTTTGGGCATCACCTCCGGGTAATGCTCCAGGGCGACCCGCTGCTTCTGCTGGGAACGGTAGGGAAACACCTGGGTTGGGCTTCAAAAAGGGGTTAAAACAGCAAAAAACCAAACTAAATAGTTAAATTAAAAAAAAATCCTCAGGGCTGGAGCGCGGGCAGCGTTTCGGGTGGCTACGTGACTCGCGGCGGGTTTGCTCCGCGCCGGCGGGGGGTCATCTGGCCGCGCGAGGAAAAGCTCCGTCTAAGCCCCTCTTAGCCTGGTTTGTGGCTTTGTGGCTGCTGTTCCGGGCAGCATCCTGCCCTGCTCTGGAGCACCAAGCGGGAGAGATGCACCGGGCCCGAACAGCCGGAATCTGGTGCCTGGATTCGCCAGCGCCTTCCTGCTTCCCCAGGGCTGCAAGGCTGTGGGATCCGGCAGCACAAGGATAGGGGTTAGAGTGCACGGGATGAACTGTGTGCATTGGCACGGCCTCGCTCTGCAAGGCTGCGTGCACTCGTGCACGCATCCTTGCATGCACGTGTGCACACACCTGCATCTATCTGTACGCACCTGCACATGCCTGGATTCGCCAGCGCCTTCCTGCTTCCCCAGGGCTGCAAGGCTGTGGGATCCGGCAGCACAAGGATAGGGGTTAGAGTGCACGGGATGAACTGTGTGCATTGGCACGGCCTCGCTCTGCAAGGCTGCGTGCACTCGTGCACGCATCCTTGCATGCACGTGTGCACACACCTGCATCTATCTGTACGCACCTGCACATGCCTGCACGCACCTTCACGTGCTTGCATACATACGCACAAACCTGCACACGTTTCCACACACATGCACACATGTGCATATGCCTGCACACACATGCACACTCATGCATATGCATGCACACTCCTGCGTATACTTGCACACCCCCACACATGCTTGCACACACGCACGCGCTTGCATATACACACTTGCACACATGTACACACTTGAACTTGCTTCCACATACACGCACACACATGTATACATACACATATATTTTCACATGCTTTCATGCACTTCCACGCACACACTTGCATACCTGCATATACCTTCACACACTTGCACATGCTTGCACACCCTTGCACACCCTTACATGCATACAGACACTGACACGTGCTTGCACACACTTGCACGCACTTCCACGGATATGTACAAACATAACTTCATACACATGTACAGGCTTGCATGCACTTGCACACGCTTGCATACACCTGCATGTGCTTGCACACACCTGCATATGCCTGCCCATGCTTGCACGCCACTGCACCCGTTTGCACCCCCATGGGTGGCAATGCCACCCTATCCTTGTGCACAGGAGGTGGCCGCAGGGCGGGCAGGTGACAGTGGGTGCCCCGTGCATGGTGCAGCTCCCAGAGGCCACTGGCCTTGTGTCTGTGCCTGGCTCGCCCGGCCTCCACGTCCCGCTTCACATTTTGCAGAGTAGTTTGTGAAATAAAACAAAAACGGTCAAATAAAACATGGGCCGGGGGGGTGCTCGGACGTCCCCGCGAGGCTACACGGAGCTGCGGCGCTTGCAGAGGCCCTGCGAGGCGGCCAGGCTGTGGAGGCCGCTGGAGACGGAGCTGAGCGCGGAGCGCGGCGCGGCGCAGAGGCAGCG